AGAGACCTACTGAGAACGAGAGGGGGAGATAGAGACCGAGAGAGACCGAGAGAGAACGAGTGAGACCGACAGAGAACGAGTGAGACCGACAGAGAACGAGTGAGACCGAGAGAGACTTGAAATACAAAGACCCCTCCCCCTCCCTCCCCTGCCCTTAAAGGAGGACAGACGTGCATTTTAGCTTCAGCGCTTAGATTAAATATTTTAAACTACCTTTCAGGGCTTCTCCCTTCTCCCATTTCAAGAGACTTTTCCAAGTCAAAGACTTCCAGTTGTTCACTGCTGCTAATATGTTCCCTAGGCGTTTCTGGTTCAAAGGACGCGATCTGCTCCAACAAAGGTAAAAAGATTTTCATTCCACCGATACAGCGCACAGCATCCTTAGGAAAAACAGAGACAATAAATATAATCTGAGTAACAAGGCTAAACAAAAACAACGAAAGATGGGTTTTAAATTTGTTCGAAACTGAAAAGCGAAAGTTCTTTTCAAGAGGAACGACAGGATCTCTTCCCACAAAAACGGGAACATTTTAAGCGAGTTCACCCGACAAGGAGCATACCTCATCCTCTGAGAGCTTGGACAATTTACGATAACAAACTTACCCAACTATCCAGCGGATAAGGGTTGATAAAAGGTACTGCGCTATCCAAAAAGACTTTATTTCGACGAAAGCATTAGCCTGAGCCACCCTTCCTGCAGTAGGAACCAGGGTTTTGGCCCAAATAGAAAGCTATACACGGATGTTGCCGACAATTTCTTCCCTTACCTTCATGCTGCTAGTGTTGCATCTATGGCCAGTTAATCTGTTTGTAGGGAAAATGGCACAAAAAGTGATGAAATGAGCTTGGTCGTCGAACTAAGAGAGGTTAATTTTCATTTGTTTAAAGTCTGCGCAGTGTCTTGGGAGAATATGAGGAAAGCACTTGCCTTCAGCTCGTGGTTTATAAACTTTCCTTATGTTCTCTCGACATCCTGCGTGGCTTTATCATGTGAAAGAGCCCAGAAAAAATGCGATCTACATTGTAATGCTCTTATCTCATAATTAGTTACATTCGGGTTCTATAACCTGATAAAGCATCCGCTTGGAAACTGAATTGACCAATCAGAAGATGCGTGCTGTCACTAATATCAATCTGAATCATACACGCATTTTGATTGGTTCTTACTGATGATCTATTGGAGGGCAGACGCATAGATGGCGTCACCATCGAACAGCGTTTACTTCTTTATCATATAAAACAAATAGATTCTCTGTTGCCGTGGGTATTTCCAGTGACATCACAGAAGACGTTACAATGTGGTAACAACATCAGTGGCACACTGGGCTGCGCCTCATCTGCCATTTTATTGTTCCTACCACATTTTGACGTCATCTGTAACCGTTACTGTGTAGACCCACGGCAAGATGGAATCTAGAACCGATCAAAATGCGTGTTTGATTCAGACTGATATTTATGACAGTACGCATCGTCTGATTGGTCAATTCAGTTTCCAACAATTTGTGAAACAGATTTCATCAATGAAACACTAATTTCATACTTCTACACATCTGTAGCTCCGTTGAGGAGCCTCAAAAAGCTCAATTCGAAGGACTGGAAGGCAAATCCTTGTGGGGAACTCACAATTTTTCTTAATTCAACGTTATTGAAAAAACAAATAATTACTTCACTTTTATAAAAACAAGTTTCATTCCACCGTACAGTTGTTACCTGCCATCCAAGTGGACTCTGCCTGGTTGACCTGGCGTTAAATCGCTACACATTAGATCATGATCTCGTCCAGCCTAAAGAAACATTAACAGCATTTATCTCGCCCTCTGTACAATGAATCGAAATTAGCGCTATCTTCTCTACTGTCTACATGCTTAATTTTTTAACATTTTCTAGCAACAACGAGCGTTTCTAACGTTTTCTAAAACGAACAAGAGCGGGAGCCTTTCTAGCCTAGAGACGATTCCGTTACGCCTCCTAAAAAAATTTTTCTCGTGTTTCTCCAGGCGCACGAAAATTCGGCTTTAATTTCCCGTTAAGCCTTTACCTCCCACGAACGACCAAGACAGAGTTTCTCCCTACAATATGAATACAATACCAAGCAGATAAAGAAAAATATCAACTAAGGGATTGGTAGTGGATCCAATACGAAATTCTCCAAACTAACATGATATTTGTATTTGTATTTCCGAATATTTATACAGGGTAGCCCAGTTCAGCTAATAGCTGGTTTAAATGGGGCCCTGTCACACCCACCCATCCAACCCCAGGGGAGGACATCCACCACACAGTAATCTCGTGCACGGGAAATTAACGTCTCCTACCCCTTGCCCTGCAGGAGACGGGGCCCACGGTTTATTCGTCCTTACCCGAGAAGACTAGAATATCTATCCATTTCTTGATATTATAGAAAGGTAGCAAATTCTCCTCAGTTATTTTAAGACCATGAGTATTGGTCCGGCCGGGGCTCGAACCCTCGACCTCCCGCACAACACAATCCGGCGCCCTAACCAATTGAGCTAACCCGGAGGCGGTTCAAATAGGAATAAGAATAAGAATGTATGGCAGACAGTAAGGAGAATTACTAACAAGATCTTGGGAGGGAAATGGTTAACTTAAATGGTATTTAGTGGATCCTTTTCTTCAATTACTTTAAAGCTCACAATAAAAACTTCGATAAAACCGTGCGAAAATGCTGGCCCCAGTTGTTCAGAGGGATGGATAACGCTATCTACTGAATAAATCTCCATCCAATGATAGAACGTTGCTTTTGCTAACTCTTATCCGTTGAAGAGCGTTATCTACCCTTCCAACAATTGGGCCCAGGTGTTCTCGAAACCGGAGAAATTCACCCAAAGACAGACCCGAAACCTTTCAGGCCCCGAGAGTTTTCAGAATTTACAGCCTGCATTTTTTCAGACACACAGTAACAAGCTGCTGGCGTTGGTCCGTTCACTTTTACAACACTAATAATAAACGACTTACCTTCGAATTGTAGAAAAGAACTAGTTTTGGAGTAAGGTCATTTAGCGCGAGCTGTGTAGAAGTGAAGGTATCAACTGGTTGAAACAGGTTAAGATTATTTGGACCTAAGACGAGAAGAAATGAAAACAAGATAAACTAGTTTTAATAACGTATATCCTAGCAAGCCATCAGGATACCCACCAGACTAGTCATAAGGGGGGGGGAGGGGAGGGAGCGTAGTACGTGACATGTCCACAAAAAGATAAGAACTATTCCATAATTCAACTATTATTCCATAGGAGCGCGTTGGAAATGAGATGGTAAATAGCTTTTTTCACCTCCGCAACAGTTAGCGCTATGCATTTCCATATAAGGCAACTCAGAATATGGGTTGAAAACCAGAGATGAGTGAACCAATCAAAACACTAGAAATGCAATATTCGAAGTTGAAAATTTGATACTTTTTTTCTTTCATATAAAGACATTTTCGAAAAATCAGAGGTAATATTTTCAGCTTTTACCTGCTACATACAAAGCAGTGATATAATTCTCGTGTAGTCCTTCGCTGAACACACATACGGGACCTAATTGTCCATGCAGAGACGTTGGGACCCCCCACACATAATCCTGTGCTCCGGCAGAAATGGTGGAGCAGTGGGGTGAGGTGGACTCTGTTGACAGCCCCGGGAGAGAGAGGGGGAAGGTGAACCTCTTCTGACCGCTTTTGGCGTTCACATCTTGGAATTCCTGTGGTGAAATGTTGGTCTGATGGGATCCTGAGCCGATTTGACAACTGGAAATATCCTAGAACAGAAGAAAAATATCGTAATTAAAAAAATATCTACATCATACTTTCAAGTGCAATTCAAGGGGTCATACCTACAAAACACTTTAGTCATTACCAATTTGATAGCGCACTCAACCATCCAAAACTATACTTACCTCTGAGAGCGAAGGAAACTTCATTGGGCTGCTGATCTTCAGCACACCATCAACATAAACAGACACATTGCTCTGCCCAAAAGGACGACGGGAAGGTATATGCGACACCGCTACAGAATGCTGGGAAATTACCAGGAACAAAAGTTGTAAAGTGATAAACAAGATTATAGGCCCCGACGAAAGAGCTGAATAATGAAATGCTACGTCAGCGGGTATGCGGTCAACAACGCGGGCTCAAGTGTCCTAGGTCTAAAATTTAGCGAAATTAGCGGAAAATAACAAGGGCTGACCTTTAAAACTGAGGAACTCTGTTTTCGTCGAAGGCACTTTCCTATTTCCAAAGGTTTAAAGGAGAAAATTAATTTTTGAAAATTTTTAGGGGGTGTACCAAATTTTTGGAGGTTGTTCTGTAAAAGAAAAGCGGCAAGGAAAACGACGCCTCGAAGCAACAGAATAGGAAATCAACCATGCGAACGACTCAAAATCCGTGTTTCCGCGGCAAAGCCTGGCGCATGCGTATACGTTATTCAGCTCTGTCGGCCCCCACGATACTTGTGAGTTAACAGAAGGAACAGGGCCTGAGAAAAACTCTCTGAGGACCAAAATTCATGTCTTTTTTTTTTATCTGAAATATCCCCCAGCTTATTTTGAGACGGAAACTTAAAGCGTTTTCGAACTATTTCTGTTTTACTCCGTAGAAGAAACACATTCAGAAAACGTACCCATGTTTGATCACTGAGCTGGCAAACTGGAACAGTAACAGAAGTGTATTCCTTTTTGTTGCACACGGCCACAACAAGATGTCCGGTGGAAGAAAAAAACGCCTCTAAACCAGCTCCAGAAGCAGTAAAAAAACTGTAAAGAAAAAAGCAGCTTATGAAACCTCCCACTGGAGTAGATCAAGAAAAAGAAAGACCAGAATTAAGAAAAAAATTAATAAATGAAAAAGATAAACACTAGACTAGCAGTTAAAGGGGAAATAACCATACGTTCCTCCTCGAGAGGATCGAGGCCTGGACTCGAGACTTCATATAGAGTAGGAACCCGGCACCTTTTCATTGCAAGAATTGTGTTGCCAGAAAAGTGTTTAAGAAACCCATAGGTCTGACGAGGGTAGGAGGGAGGAGAGGGGGATCGGAAGCCCCCACACCCTCCCCCTGGATCCACCGGTGACAAGATCTAAACCTACCTGGTACATGTATCAGTCTTCAATGAATTCAATGAAAACGTTTACCTGTAGAGGATTCGCCGATAGTGAAATATTTTTCTCTCTACACTCAAATCACTCCTCTCTTTGATTTTAACGGAGTCCAGGCAAATCCAAGCGTGAAAGGTGAAGCTATTTCCGGGCCATTTCTGAATACCTGGAACAGAGATCCCCTTTGACGGGAAAAAAAGCACAAGCTACTGTCAAAATACACACGTGTATTGTAATCACAGTTTGGAACCCCCCTTTAAAAAATTCCTCGTTTTGCCACCTATTACATGTTCTACACAATCATGGAATTTCAAAAATTAAAAGTTTCACATAGAAATCCATATACGTTAATTACCGAACGAAAGGTCCGGGAAGAAACTGTGCCCGAGGTCTTGAGTATGCTGAGGGCAGTACACAAGACCAAGGGCACAGTTTCCTTCCATACAGACCGCCCAAGAAAAGTAAATGACTCATTATTTTTTTCCCGCTGGTTTGTTTTTTTCCGCTTTTTTGCGAACGGCGCGGAAAAATTTCTAGATCGTGGCCCGTTTTGTAAAAAGCTGCTAACGAGGATTTAAGATTTTGGCCCATCACGACTTTTCAGGGGAAATAAGATGACCTTGCTGATGCCTGAAGAGTTATCTTACGATTCGGCTGGCGTCAAACGCTCCACTTTGTTGAGTTGAACTTGAGGCCCCTCCCGAATGTACATGTTTGGGGTGGGGTGGGTGGGGGAGAGATTGATTGAATAATTCCACCATGTTGCCATCACTTACAGCAGAGGGGTGGTGAAGGTCAAAGAAGTGTTTTGCTCTCAACCGGCTGCTACTAAATGACATTTTTACTAAGGCCTGAAGGACTCTGTAAGCAAATGGTACCTGTTGGTTGTAAAAAAAAAAAAAGACTTGGTAACCTAAAAAAACAAAGAGATTCACTTGAAAGAAAAAATAAAAAAAACTTTAAGGGCCGATTCTTTGAACAAAGTTTAGCCATTGTTTAACAAATCCGCGTTGTAAGCCATCTTCAGTTTAGTCGAGCCTTTCATCTGAATATGACTTTGGTGAACAGTGTCAAGAGGGCCGAAAGCTAATAAAGATAAGACATTTCTTTGATTAAATCAACCTTCTTGTAGATAATCCCTGAGACAGGCTCACTGATTGCCGTAAAACCGCGGTTTGGGTTAGACCTAGTGTAAATAGCCAGCCCTAAGAGTTTAAATAATATGATGTATGTAATTTTCTTTATGAATTGCCACTACCCACAACAAAATAGCTCATCTCCTATAGAAATCACAAGGGTACCTGCTGTACCATATGAGATGTGGTATTTTCAAGGAGAGTGAACCCCTTGTTCTCTATCAAGCAAGCAAGGAAAAAAAAAAAGAGCAATGTCTCTCTATTACAATGACTTCCATTTGCTCGGCACTTAAAGAAAAAGGCTTTAAGGTGGGTTAGGGTCTTGTTATGTTGCTATTATGCAAGACATATGGACAGAGATGGTTATGACTTAACAATGTTCTTTTTAACCTGTGAACCATCCTCCAGAGGTACGAAGAGACCAATCATCTGTTTAAGTTCACGCGATGTTACAGAATGTGCACCAATGGCCTCCAATATACCGATCAGAGATTCTACAAAGAGAAAAAAGTGGACAGTTATTGAAAAGCTTGAATTCCATTCGGATTACATCTATACATGTGGCAGTTTGTTGGCCGTAGGTTAAGCAATCAGACAGTCAGTCTGTCATTGAGACTGACAGAGAGTCACTTATAACAAGTCACTTAGTCAGCCAGTTGAATAAAGGGGATAAGTTTCTAAAGAAACTGCGGTGCTGTGTCAGTGGGTAACATGATAATAGGCCATTTTACAGTTGTGTACTTAGTTGCCAAGCCTTTGATTCAGAGTGAGGCTAAAGATGACCTTGTCGTGATAGAGACCTGTATCTAGTTAGCATGATAACAAAGTGATTTACATTTGAAAAGCAGCAAGGTTTGTATCATAACAAGGTCACCCCTAGCCTCACTCCCATTCAAAGGCTTGGCA